TGCCGAATAGAGGGGAATGATCGCGTCCCTCGATCTGCTGGCAATGCCCCTACTTATACAGCCCAAAATGCCGTTAGCCTTCTTGGCAACAAGGGCACACTGTTGACTCATATCCAGCTTCTCATCCACTGTGACCCCTAAAATTTGTTAGTCTCTAAGGTGCCACAAGTACTCCTGTTCTTCTTTTTGTGACCCCTAGGTCCTTTTCTGCAGAACTGCTGCCTAGCCATTTGGTCCCTAGTCTGTAGCGGTGCATGGGATTCTTCTGTCCTAAGTGCAGGACTCTGCACTTGACCTTGTTGAACCTCTTCAAATTGGAGGATTGGGGCAAAAGAAATCTGTCTAGGTCACTCTGGACCCTATTCCTACCTTCCAGCATATCTACCACTCCTCCCAGCTTAGTGTCACCCGCGAGAGTGGGGTTAAGACAGAGGGGCCTCACCAGAGGAAGCAGGGGAGAGAGAGAAAAGACACTGAGGAGAAACACGCACATTGCCGGACCAGATCCGTGCTCCTGCTCAGAGCCCGTCTCTGGCAGTGGTAAAGTCACAAAGCCAAGCACTCAGAACTCAGGAAGTGCCAGAGCTAAGGTTCCTGTCACCCTTAGTTTGGTGCCCTGTATCTACTCACCAGCATCATCCCACAAGCCTGGAGCTGGTGGAAACCCAAAATTTCTGTCCCATGCAAAATTCGGAGAGTCCCAAAGTTGTTTCATTCTGAACCAGAACGAGAAACCAAAATAGCAGAATTGCTCACAAAACAGTCTGAAAGTTTTGAGAAATGCAGTTCGGGGTCAGAAATGTTTGTCTGATACACACGACGTTTCATTTTCACTTGTATTTTATATTAAATGATATAAAATCAAAATCTAACCAGAACGGTCAGAGAAACATTTCGGGTGAGATTCACAAGTGGACGCGGGTGCCCGAATCACTGGGCTGGGGGGATTCTGATGGGTGTCTCTCTCACTCTGTCCTGTGGAAGCTGTTCCAACTGGGCGTAAGTAATTAACGACTCATTGGAGCAGGGGCACATGAACTTGATCTCCCAGGTAAGTGCCCCACCCCCACGGCTATAGCGTCATGTCACCGGCTCAGTGACTCTTTAAATGTTTATACGCAGGGGAGCAGGAGAGCCGCACATCAGCCTGTCCCAGGGGTGAGAGCTCTCTCCTGTGCGGGGGGAGATCCAGAGTCAAATCCCTTCTCCCCATCAAGCGGGGGTGGGGGGGACTGAACCCCACTCTCCCCCCTGCTGGGTGAGTGCGTGAACTCCTGGGTAACGGCGAGTGCTGCTGGCGGCTGTTCTTGCAAACAGCAGCTTAGGTGCCTGACCCCAGGCCCAGCTCCCAGCTGTGAATCCCACCCCAGAGGGAGGCGCCTCCTCCAGCCCAGACTTGGGCGACAAACGCCAGGAGAGGAGCAGGGCTTAGCACCCCCCTTTCCCCGGCATCTCCCGTTGGCTAGCTCGGTGGCTCCCTGCCCAGGGTGCTGGCTTTTGGGAAGACCACTCGTTGTCTAGGAAGCCTGGGAACCGAACCCAGGCTCTGTGAATCCCTCTGCGTCTTGCATGTAGATGTCGGTCTTGCTACGGCTGCTCCGTAACTGAGCTTGCAGAGTCCCTTTTCCCCCAGGCAGAATAGATCCAAGGCTTCTTTCCTGCTCCCGCCAGAAGCCCGTGGAGCAGCTCTGAGTGTGTGGAGCCAGCAGGGTTGGACGCACACAAAGGCAGCAGGGAATTGTGCTCGCCAAGGTGGGCAATAAGGAAAAAGCATTTCAAAAACGCCCTGGGGTGCTGAAAGGCGGGGAGAGGCTGCCAGTGTCTGGCCCCTGGGCAGTGAAGTTCAGAACTGTCACTGGCACAGGGCCCGGGGCATTGTGGGGCAGTGGCTGGCGGACACAAGAATTGCAGCATCTGCACTCGCACTGCGGTGACCTACGTAGGTGGCCGTGGCTTTTCGCCGTTCGGGACGTGGTGTCACTGCAGCTCTGTAACCGGGAGTTCACGTCAGGGGGAGGCAAATGTTAGTGTCGATAAATGTGTAATGAGGTTGGTGCAAGTTGGCTGATGTCAACCTGCCTTTGGAGCACAGACCAGGCCTCTGTTCAGTTCTGTCCCCAGTTTTGTTCACCAAGGATAGAGCAGAGATAAAGGAGGTTCAGATAATAACGAAATCACTTGGGTCTGGGAAACCCGCTATGTGAGGAGAGATTAATGAGAAGGGGCTGTTTAGTTTAGAGAGACAATGATAAATGTACAAACTAACGAATGGCAGAAAGTAGGTCAGTCAGGGATTCTCTTTACCCCCTCTCATAATGCAAGAACAACGGGACACGCGATGAAGTGGAGGGAAGAAAAGGTAAAACTGACACGCGGAAACCCATGTACATAACACGTAACTCCGCTGTAGAAGTCATGGCCACAGGTGTCATGTGCGGGATTCAGAGGAGAATTGGAGACTCAGACAGACAGGCAGCACCTCCACAGTTACACGAGAGAGAATGAAAACACAAAACCAAGTCTCCAATGTTTGGAAGGGATCTAAGCCCTCCCCTTCAGGGCACAAGCCTCCCAGACACTAACTATCTGGAGTTAGGAGGAAATTCTCTCTAAGGGTGAATTATTCTGCACTTGTCCACTAGAGGGGAATCTTCCCCTTTCCCCTGAATCAGCTGGTACCAGCCAGTTTCAGCGAGAGAAGAGGGGGCTAGATGGATGCCTGGTCTGATCTGGTCGGGTGTTTCCTGTGTTCCCATTAGAGTGAATCGAAATGTGTCAGACACTTTACCTCGAAAGGCAACGTAATCAAAGTCAAATCTTGTGTTTTAACAGAGAGAGCTCACCTTGAGAATTACTCTTGGCTGAAGTGAACGTGCTACGTAGGTGCAAAGATGAGTTGCCAGGAAATATTCATGAGCATCATAACACCAACAGGAATAAAGTGTTATATTTTTAAAGAAAGTTACTCTTCCAGTAAGCACACACCCCTAACTGAAGAAAAGAGAAAAATGGCAGAAGTGGCAAAGCAGAAAGCAATGGAGATTCTGAGAGATGCCCTGAAGAAGAAGGACCGAGTGCTGATGGAGAAGCCCCAGGATCTGGTTTTTGGTGATAGTGGAAATCCCAAATTCTGGATGGAACGCCATGCGATACTGACAGAAGAATTAGTTCGACGCCTCATCTCAGAGCTGGAAGCTGTGAAGTTTAAGGAGGATCTAACCAGGAAATATACTTATGCTTATGTTTATTCAGAGTCTGGTGACAAAACAGTGTATTTGTGCCCGCAATTCTGGAAGGCTTCTACAGATCTTGGAGAAGGTTCTCAGCCAGGGATTCTTATCCATGAAGCGTCTCACTTCCTGGGGATACGAGATATCACCTATTCCAAGGAGAGTATCGATGTTGCCTGCAGAGGGAAGTTGGTAAAGTTGAAAGTTGGTTCAGAACGCAGTGTCCCAGATCTGAATTCCCTTGCGAAAGCAATATTAAATGCTAGCAACATTGAGTATGAATTTGAAATTACACTAAATCACAAAGGAAGATACGAGAATGGACGATACTCCTGCTGTGGGGAAAAAGCCAAGAACTCAGTTTGTGAGAGAGCTGTGCCTGATGAGTTTCTTGACTGCAATTTCCAGGGAAGGTAAGCAACTCTCCTTTCCCATGGGCAGTGCATGTTATGTGTGGTTCCCTCCCTATTGACTGTATGGCACTGGTGCCTAGGGACCCCACACAGGGATTGTGTCCCCATGGTGCTAGGGGCTGTACTCATGGTGGAGAGACAGCCCTTGCCCCAGGGCGCTCGCAATCCAGGATTATCATAAGGTGCAAGTGGGTGGAAGAAAGACAACCAGGGCAAGGGGTGAGAGGAGACGGTGACAGTAAAACGAACACCATGCGCCAGCCCCTGAGCTGGTGCAGACCAGGGTGGCATAGCTCCATTTACTG